CGATAAGAGCATCGACTCACTTTTCTACTAGCACACACTTTACATCCCTTTTAGGACAGTCACTCCCACAAATCCATCTTACCATGTTTTTTCACTAACAAAATGGGGGCACAGACAAGTACAAGAATATGAAAATATACACCAACATTAAGGTGGGTTGAGAAACAGCTAACAGACACCCTTGCCTGCCCCATAGTATCATATAGCGTGGGCCAAGCAAAAAAGACACACCAGTTGTACATTAGGAATGCTCAATATACATACATGAATATCAATCAATATTTATCCCCCCACCACATTTGAAAGGTCTTCGAATTCTCTTTTTAACCATATGCTTTCCATACTTAAGCGTCCGTTGTGGAAAAGTTATAGCTGTTCGAGTGAGTTGAACCTCTCTTAATGCCCTACATGTTTTTTGTATTGCCTGTGCATTGATTTTGGGCCATCTAATTACCATGTAATGACTTGTGGGATTAAAATTTGACTTGTACCAGGGCTACAGCGTGCACATGCAAGCGAAACTGTTTGAAAAACTATTTTGTCGCACAGATGTGGGATTCAAAATTATTTGGTTGCACAACTGAGCTGTACCAGTAGTACATATTTTACAAGTACTGTGCGGAGCACGTGTAAATAGATAGCCTGTAATCTACGACTGGGACTGTACATCAGCTGGCCAACGCTCCTAGTATAGTACTTCCGAGCGTACCACAATATACCAAGAAACATCCATCATTCCCTGCTCCCCCCCCCACAGGTTTGTGAAGGTGACCAACACCCAAAATTTTGCTAAGGTCCTCCCAACCATGTCCCCTGTTGACCCTCTCCAACTTGTCATCCCCAACTCCCATTTCATCCAATGGGGTGAATTTCTTCTTCCTGCCAAGGATCATGGAATACGATTTTTTCCTCCTGATGCTGAAAATCGATGCGCGGCGTTGCACCCCCCTCCCCCCCCTAAATTTATGACCCTTCGTACCGTGCTGTACGGTACATTCTTGTTTCCCGACATCTTTTTAATCCCGTACGATACCCTTCGCGCCGGGCGGTCGAACCCATTTTGAGCTGCTTACTGAATTCTACGGTCGAACTTCCACTGCAACAGATTGTTGGGTCCAACATAGCATCAGGTACGGTATTCGACAACAGAATCGATTGCCACACCTCTTAATGCGATAAATCCTTCGAATGAAATACTAAACTTACTGAGGAATGGAATTTCAAGGATGAAGCAAATGCTCGTCTTAATTCTGCTGTGTATGACAGTAATACCATGTTGCGGCAGATATGCTAGCAAGATAAACCAGGACGAACAACCTATGGCTCAACGTGATTTGAATCAACATCGACGGACTCAAGCCTCCCTCCCTAAATTTTCAAAATCTAGAGATGGCGAGGTCGAGGGGAAAGGAGGTCGTGTGTCTTATGGTAACGACGACATTGGAACATGGGAATGGAAGGGGAAAGGGAAGGGTGATAAGAAATCAAAAAAATCAAGCAAAAAGGGAAAGAGCGGGAAAAAAGAAAAAAAGGAAAAAAAATATGGATACTATGAACGAAGCTGGGGAAAAGGAACGCCTTCACAATATCAAACAAAGCTACCGACACTGAACCCTGTACTATCCCCAACTTTTTTACCCACTCTAGTTCCCACTCCAACGAAGAACTTGGGGAGTGGTAGTGATAGTGAAGACGCGCGTCCTTCCACTGAAACAAGTAACGACTGCCCACGTAAGTGCCACTCCATTCAAGACATAGTGCAACGCTTTCATTAGTTGAATCTATGGCTTTTTTTTCTCACCGCGCTTTTCAGCCGAGCGTCCCCCCACTATCGTTCCTCCTTCCCCAAGTTTTGTGTCAACGAAAAATCCTACGAGGGCCCCTTCTCCGACAATTGCTACCGATAAAGAAAATACGATGTCCGTGAATCTTCCCATCTATGCGATCGACTACACATTTTCACAAACAAGTAGAACACCTATCAAAGTTGACTTTCTGGAGCTACAAACACTTACTCAATCTTTTTTCAAAAATTATATGTTGACAGCATACGAAGTTTCTGCCCAAGTGACGCTTGTTGACTTCAGTACTTCTTTTGTCACCGCTCACTTCACGTAAGTCTCTACACCTTGTTTTATCAACTTATGTTTCAACTATGTCCTTTCCTACGCAAGAAAAGCTGAGTTCATGTGTGCGATAACTTATTCATTCGTCGTTCATTTTTCTTAATGATTTAAATGGCAATAGGCCTGGGGAACCGATTCATATTCAATACAATTCAACTGCATACTTCGACTCGAAATCGATCAACATTCCAACCGCCCAAAACCTTTTTGTTGTTCTAGAAAATTCCTTAGTGAGTACTCAAGCTTACGTTGATGATCTACAGTCACAATTAGAGGAAGTGAATCCATTTTCAAGTACAACTGAGGCTATTTTTACAGATCCAAAAGACTTACCAGTCACCCAAAGCTCTGCGAAAACCGAAGTGGGAGCTGCCAGTGCCAGTGTTGCTGCAGCCCTTACCCTTACAGTAGTAGCGAGTGCCCTTTTTTTACGCATGAGAAAAAGCACTGATGATAATGTCTACGACGAAAGGGTGAAGAAAGAGATTAAAGGAGATACAACCGTCGCCGGTGAGACTTATGTCATGGAAAATGATCATTTCAGTCAGGGTATCAGTTTGTCAGATAGTTTGTCGATGCGCTCATCAGAACATGATCAATTACCAAACTCAACATCATTACTTGGAGAAACAATACACCAAAACATTCCGAAGAGTAGGACAATAAAGGAAACAGGGAACGTCCACGACGTGTCAAATGGGCACAGCCCAGCGGTAAAGAACAAGCCTAGAACTATAGAAGATATTGAGCGACTTCTCTCGCTTGGTGATTGTGATATAATTTGATTCAATTGTGTTCCAACAGAAACTGGGGTAGGGATTGATATCAGACAATACTGGTACTGTAGTGGTACTACCGATTTATTAATATTGCCTTGTCATCATGTTGTGATGTAGTAGTAGTAGTAGTAGTAGAGTACTAGTACTAGTACTAGTACTAGTACTACCTATTGGTAGTGTTCCAGTCAGGGACAATCATCGTTGACTATTTTACCACACTGGGCATACTAGCAGGCAATAGAATGGTAACTTTTTGCCGGTGCTCTAAACATAGCATTCATTCATGATAAGTATTGTGTATGAGGACTGAAACTTTGGGGAGGGGGCTAAGAAAAGAATCTAATTATTACAGAAAAATATGGTAACAAAAAAAGAGGAGCTACCAGATTCATGCTACTACCAGATTGCTACCACCTGGTAGGCAATCTGGTAGTAGCAAATCACCAGGTACTAGCAATAGTTTCCTTGAGATGCCCGGGACTGACTTGAACTGCTTTTTGTGCACCTACAAGCCACACTTTTAAGTGAACTACTAAACATTTACCACAACTGTTACCATAACAGTTAGGTAGCAATCCAGTATTTCTAGTACCAGTTACCAAAAATTCTACCATAAATGATCCTACCAGATTCCTACCAGATTGTTACCATATTACTACCGTCAATGCTACCAGATTGCTACCACAAACATTACCATAATAGAAGCTGGGCTACCAGAATAATTTTTGAAATTCTCTCAGCCCCCTCCTAAGTATCGAATTTACTTACTATGGTATTACTAAGAAGTTCACAGGACTCATTCTAATGCTTAATTTTCTTGTGTGTTATTAGCACTAGTACTACTAGTAAGCAGTGCCTGCTGGTTCCATTCCAGTAACAGGTCTAGTAGCCAACAAGATGCTTGGTAATATCGTCAATGATGATCATCTCACCACCAAGAAGTGGTGTTCATAGCAATACTACTAGTAGTACTAGTACTAGTATAATACTAGTAGTACTACTAGTATAATACTAGTAGTAGTAATACCAGAAATAACTTGCATCACGTCATGATCTTAAGCTGCATGTTACTACAGATATCATAATGCACATAACAAGTGATTGCGGCACTAAGAAAGTGGTTCCCATCGTTAATTTAGTGGTGCCATCCTTTTTTTTCAGTACAAATTCGACAAAGCTCTACTGAGTGTCGGCCTGCAAAATTTTCAGCATGATTTGCTTTCTGAGAAAGAAGCAGGATTGGTTCTCTGACACCAGAATAGTTGCCAACTACCTCAGTACATTTTGTACTGTGTTCTACTGGGCTAAGGATGGCATCATTAAATTAACGATGGGAACCACTTTCTTAGTGCCGCGATCACGTGTTATGATATCCGTAGTATTATTATTACTATTTTAACTCTTGTTTCTATCGTGACTGAGAAAGACAAAACGAATGATTTTAGTCTCAAAAAATAATAGAGATGGAAGTAATAAATCAACGGTAGGAATTTTTAATTCGTCGAAGAAGAGCGTGCAAGCCATATACAATTGCCCAATATCTAATTTTTGCGACCCATTTCATGGGTAAGCTGGACTCAACGCTTACTTTATCCCGCCGGAAGACTCGACGCAAGTTTCAGTTCTTCAGTCAGCTCACTTTTTGATTAAAAAAATACTAATCCTCGGAGCAACGTCGATGTGATTCATAAAATAACTCAGCCAGCAATCGAAGAGTTACGAATTACAACGATTCAATTTAAATAAGAACGGACAATGATCGGAGTTTCTAAGAACATGCTTGCAATTCTGTCACTTCTTGTACTCTGCAACCCTGTTGTGGGTGGTCAAGACCAACGACATTCTACTCAAAGACGACGCATTGCCGTTGCTGAGAGACCATCCTCTGCTCCGACCACGTTGGGAGAAGGCGATGATACAGAAAGTGGAAAGGGTATGAAATCAGAGGGAAAGKGAATGAGATCTGCGAAAGGAAAAGGAATGAAGAGTGAAAAATATGCTGATTACGATGAATATTCGATGTCGATGTCGATGTCGATGTTGACGGAACTAGGAAAAGGAATGAAATCAAGCAAAGTGGAAGTAGGCAAAGGGG